CCCAAAACCTCAGCCATCACCAGCATGAACAATTACCGTCTGGTTGCTCTCACCCCGGTGATTATGAAATGCTTTGAGAGACTGGTACAGCCCCATATTAAAGCATGCATCCCTCCTACATCATGTCTTCAGTTTTAATAAGTGTTCAGATGATCTGGTCTGTATCATTACATACCATTGTAGTTTATCAGTGTGTGACTCCCTCTAGTGGATGTTGTGGAGTATTGTGTTGTCTTCTCTCCAGAGGTTTTTGTACAGAGTTGTGGTGTTTCCTGTCACTGTGGGCTTCACAGCACAGTAGTACACAGCAGAGTCAGTCAGTGCAGCAGAGGAGATCTGTAGATCCAGATGTTTTTTATCCTCTCTCACTGTAACAGACAGTCCAGAGACTGGATCTGATATAAGTTGTCCTGTTCCTGTGTGAGAGATGATGAACTCTGGTTGTTTTCCTGTATATTGTTGATACCAGAAGAAATAATCACTGCCAACAGCTTGTTTGGAGTAACTGTAGGACAGAGTGACGGTGCTGTCTTCTAAACTGTGCTCTTCATTCTTCATTGGAGTGAGTTCTTCACAGCTGACACCTAAAAAAGATGTAGATATAATTCAAAGTCATATCATTAAATCTAAATATTGAACAAACACAAAGATAAAGATAAAGATAAAGATAAAGATAAACTTTATTGATCCCCCATGAGGGAAATTTCTGAATTACAGCATCTTTACAGCATCACTACAGCACTTTACATCTAACATATTTAATGTTATAATAACGACTGTTGTCCAAACTGAAATACTCTTTATTTTCAAAATCACAACACACTGTCCATTTAATAAATACATACCTATGAGAGCTGAGAAGAACAAAATAACAGTGAGTTGTTCCATGTTTGTAGAGGTGAGATGCTGTAACTGAATGTTCAGTATAATTCAGTTTTGTGAGTAGAGTTTGGTCTGATGTTCACAGCTGGAATCAAACAGTTCTCTGTCATCAAACACCTCTGCAGTCATTGGGAGGAGACTCATCTGTTGAACTAGTTTCATTTCTGAATTGAGAAACATCAAGCCTTCATCATGACATACCATAGAAGTTTATCAGTGTGTGACTCCCTCTAGTGGATGTTGTGGAGTATTGTGTTGTCTTCTCTCCAGAGGTTTTTGTACAGAGTTGTGGTGTTTCCTGTCACTGTGGGCTGCAGAGCACAGTAGTACACAGCAGAGTCAGTCAGCTGAAGCTTCTGGATCTTCAGAGGAACTGATCTTAAAGTAGAATCCAGTGTGGATGAAAATCTCTCCTCAAACTCTTTCATTGTTTTCCCTTCTCCAATCTTAAAGCGGCTCAGTATGTATTTGGGGCTGTTGTTTCCATCCTGTTTGTACCAGTAGAGATAATAATTTGATGAACTGCTGTTGTATTGACAGCCAAGAGTTACTGCCTCTCCTTCAGTAGCAGTCACATCTCCTTCTGGTTGCAGCACGTTGTCTTTTTGTGCCATACATTCTGTAAAGCAGTAACAAATAGTATTAGTGTGCTGTTAAAGAATCATGTCAGTGTTGGATTGATATCAAAGAAACAGAGTTCATACCAAGACACACAGCAGCCAGCAACACTGAGATAACCAGAGACATCATATCTGCAGTGTTAATAACTCTGAGTTACAGAGAGTATAAAGAAGGCTGTGATCTCTGTGTTTAGTCCACATCAACACTAAGTTAGAGGATTAGAAGGAGGAGCCTGATCACAGAGACAGGTCTCATTCACAGCCCTGTGTTATTCCCCGACTGACAACTTTACACTGAACATCTTTTACTGACACTCTGCTAACTTTTAATGATCTGTCTTGTAACTTCCCCTCCTGACCGATTCCAGTTTATAGTAAGTGACTCCCTCTAGTGGATGTTTAGGAGTATTGTGTTGTCTTCTCTCCAGAGGTTTTTGTACAGAGTTGTGGTGTTTCCTGTCACTGTGGGCCTCACAGCACAGTAGTACACAGCAGAGTCATTCAGTGCAACAGAGGAGATGTTCATGTTGATTTCTTTTTGCTCCACTGAAATCTTTAATCCTGATCTAAGTGCATTTCCTATCGTTCCTGAAGCGCCGTGACCAACAAGGAGCTGTGGTTGTTTTCCTGGATGTTGTCGATACCAGAAGAAATAATCACCAGCTGACAGTTCAGGGTAACTGTATGACAGAGTAACAGTGCTGCCTTCTGAACTGAACTCTTCATTCTTAACTGGAGTGAGCTCTTCATAGCTGGATTCTAAAAAAGAAGATATGATACAGAATCGTATTTTATTGAAATTCAACTCTTCATGCAACACAATCCATCACACCTCAAAAATCTATTGTTTTAATTCAACTTCTTTTAAAATGTAGATACATATTATTTCCCTAAACACCCACATTTTCCTTTACATACATACCTATGAGAGCTGAGAAGAACAAAATAACAATAAGTTGTTCCATGTTTTTAGAGGTGAGACGCTGTAAGTGAAGAACAAGTATGAGCAAGTTTGGTGAGCTGTTTGGTCTGATGTTCACAGCTGGAATCAAACAGTTCTCTGTCATCAGGCTCCTCTGCAGTCAGGAGGAGGAGACTCTTTAAACTACTCTAATTCCTTACAGGTTTTATCACAACTGTATTATGAAGTAATCATAGGGTTATGAGTGTGTGACTCCCTCTAGTGGATGTTGTGGAGTATTGTGTTGTCTTCTCTCCAGAGGTTTTTGTACAGAGTTGTGGTGTTTCCTGTCACTGTGGGCCTCAGAGCACAGTAGTACACAGCAGAGTCAGTCAGCTGAAGCTTCTGGATCTTCAGGGGAACTGATGTCCCGTTTGTTGAAGCTTTAAATCTGTCTCCGGAGATCCCAGGAGCATTTTCTGAAATTCCTACATAGCTTTTCCACAGGTACTTTGGGAAATCACCCATTTCTTGTCTGTACCAGAACAAAGAGGGGCTTGTGTCAGTGGTCTCAACTTTACAGTCAAGTGTGACTGTGTCTCCTTCAGAAGCAAAGACATCTTGTGTTGGCTGGATCACTCTGTCTTCTCCTTTACACTCTGAGAAGAGAACAGAAAGAGGAAGAGATAAATTGTTGATTAATGAAAAAAGGGGTTCAGGTTAAATAAGTTACCTAGCGTTAAGAACAAACACTCAAAATAGAAGGTCATAAACAATTGTTATGCTATAGTTTCTTTCTCACTAAAGAAAACAGCAGCCAGAATGATCCACAGCCAAAGTTCCATTTCTACAACAAGGTTTGAACCTACAGGAGGAACTCTCTGATGTTCAACATTCACAGAAAGATTACTTTTCTTCTCAGCAACAGTTTTTATCAACAGAGTGGTTCAACACAGTGCAGAAGCATTCGCCCTCTAGTGGAGGTTCAAAGTTTGGCATTACATTGTGTACAAACGGCTTTCAGCAGTTTGTCAGTTTGTGTTTTTGTACAGAGTTGTGGTTTGAGGCATGAGGAAATTATTTCTGAGACTGTAACGTCATCTGGTGAGAATGACAGGAAGAGCTGGGTATCGTCAGCATACGAGTGGTATGAGAAGCTCAATAGACTGGCCCCTCTAAAGCGTGACTGATTTGGCTCATATTCTAGACTCATTTTCTTTTATATATGTGATGCTCATGTGAATCCTCCCTCAGTGTCTCATCAGCAGCTGTAACCACAGAGACTCTGATCAAACAGGAATCATCAGAATCCATCTGACATGAAGCTGTGGTTTGAATCCCACTTCCCTCTTCTTTGAAGAGTAGTCAGTTATCTGTGTTCATGTTTTTGTACATGCTCGTCTACACTTTGTATCAGTGTTTCTAAAGCATAGTAGTAGAGAGCTGTGTCTTCAGGGGTTAGCTCTCTAATGGTCAGTTCAGTTGAGTAGAGGTAAACATATTCTGATGTTGTCTCATAGTTACATGTAAGTGTGTGACAGATTCTACTTCTGTTCCTCTGACTTCATCGACTGTAGGATAGATTTTGTCTCCAGCTGCTGATCCTGTAAAAAGTGTAGGAATGGACACCATGAGTCTAAACATTGTTAGTGAGGCTGAAGGGAAGACAGTGAATAGTGTCAACTCTATAGTTATAGTCAGAACAGACACATGTCAACAGTTCAGAGATTCCTGCTCTGAACTCCAGTTTACTTATTTAATAAATAGAATTGTTAAAATGTGTAGTTCTTTTTATCTCACCTTAGGAAAGAGCAGCCAGAAAAATCCACAGCCAAAGTTCCATCTCTACAACAAGGTTTGAACCAACAGGAGACCCGAGCTGATGTTCAGCCAGAAGTGTGAGAATAGTTCACTTTACAGCAGCTGTTACACATGAATGCTTGAACAGAGTGCTTAGGTGATCTGCCCCCTTGATAATGTTTCCTCTAGTGGAGATAAAAAAATATTACAATTGTGTACAAAAGGGACTTCCAGCAAGTTTTTGTCCGGACTCTATGAAGGCTTTGAACAATTTTACAAGATCAAATCATCTAAACCAAAACAAAGGAAACCTGATCAAATAATTTAAAAATATTATGGTCAGCATATAATTAAAAACTGAGAGGACCCAGGAATGAACCCTGTGGAACACCTCAAGAAATTAAAGCCCACAAAGAACAAAAGAGAAACTTCTTTGATAAATATGAAGACAAAAGAAATCAACACCAGAATCTGTAATGCAGGCTGTTTAATAAGTTACTTTATTTAAATGGTACACTTCAACAGTGGTAAAATTAAACACCAGAGTAGATATGATGATAAACAAGGTGTACTTTGTAGATAATTAATATTATATTCAGAGTAGTATTAGTTTATCTCCTGTCAGAGAGCCTCTTTCTCATCACTACAAAACAGTCGAGCCAACATCTCCATTCCTACAGTTGAAGTTTATCAGTGTGTGCCTCCCTCTAGTGGATGTTGTGGAGTATTGTGTTGTCTTCTCTCCAGAGGTTTTTGTACAGAGTTGTGGTGTTTCCTGTCACTGTGGGCTTCAGAGCACAGTAGTACACAGCAGAGTCAGTCAGTGCAGCAGAGGAGATCTGTAGATCCACACGGTTTCTCTCCTTATTCAGTTTAACAGTCAGTCGAGGGTGTGGAGGTTTTGCTGTCACTACAGTTGGATCCGAAGTGTCGCTGATCAGGAGAAGGAACTGAGGAGCTGATCCAGGATCCTGTTGATACCACTGGAGATTATTAGCTTTAACTGAGTATTTACAGGACAGAGTAACACTGTGACCCTCTGATGAAAACACTTCAGCACTGCTGGCAGTAATATCATCCTCCAAGGTGTTACCTGATGGAGACAAACACATGATGTTTCAACATCAGACATTCTGTAGTTTAAAGATGTCACACAATAAACATCTTGTGTTCAAACAAACAATACTAGAAACAGTCATCAGTAAAGAAGTGTTGTTTTCTAGAAAGTGTTTTTGAAATGTTAAATTGATCTGTGGCTGATCCAAAAATTCATACTGGATCTGAAATTCTTTAAAAGCTTCTTTGTCATTTAGATTTCTTATCAAACACAAACATACCAAGGAGAGTTAAAATGAAGATAATACTGAGTTGTTCCATGTGTGTAGAGGTGAGACGCTGTAAGTGAAGAACAAGTATGAGTAAGTTTGGTGAGCTGTTTGGTCTGATGTTCACAGCTTGATTTAAAGAGTTCTCTGTCATCAGGCTCCTCTGCAGTCAGGAGGAGGAGACTCTTTAAACTACTCTAATTCCTTAAAGGTTTTATCACAACTGTATCATGAATGAAATAATCATAGGTTTATCAGTGTGTGACTCCTCTAGTGGATGTTTGGAGTATTGTGTTGTCTTCTCTCCAGGTTTTCAGAGTGTGTGTCCCTCTAGTGGATGTTGTGGAGTATTGTGTTGTCTTCTCTCCAGAGGTTTTTGTACAGAGTTGTGGTGTTTCCTGTCACTGTGGGCCTCAGAGCACAGTAGTACACAGCAGAGTCAGTCAGTGCAGCAGAGGAGATCTCCAGATGAAATTCATTAGATTGTTTGTCGTGTCTTGTAGATAACTTCTCTGTTTTCTCTGAATATCCACCTATGAGATGTTGTGGAGATGAACCTGATTTCTGCTGATACCAGTAGAGGTTGGTGACAGAGCCTGAATAGTTGCAGGAGAGAGTCACATCGTCTCCATCAACAGCCATCATTACCTCTCTGAATGGTGTCACTAATTCCTCAGAGGATCCTAAAGAGAAAGACATATATTTCACTGTGACTGTAGTTGTATATCTGGACAGACATGTTTCATATCTTAGATATTATTACGTCTTCTTTGGACTTACCAGTATGACCAAATACTATCATCATCCAAACCAAAGGAAGCTGCATTGTTGTTCCTGTGATAAATGAACAGTAGAGAGAACACAGCAGCTCTTCTGTTCCAAAGTGACACTGTTCATATTCATTTGTGTAGCTCCTCCTCTTAACACTTACATCTCAAATGTAGTAACATAGGGGCATCTATGACTGGATTAATATAAGATCTGTTCATCAACACCAACAACAAAAGAAACTAGACTAATTTATTTTAAATCAAATTCAACTTGCAAATAAAAAGGCCGAGCCTAGAACTCAACCCTGTGGTACACCACGAGAAATCACAGCCAAAGAAGAACGTGTTTATCAAAGACAGAAAAAAAGAAACTAACTTCTAATTTTGTGATGCCAACTGTTTGTGGTGATACTTTATTCTAATGATTTGATCCAGATTAAATATGATGACAAACCATCACATCATATTAACTTTTTGTATATTAACAGCTTCATTTAAATCTATAGTTTCCAAACTAAATTCATGTTACATTCAAACAGTTCTGGATATGTGGCGAGCACCTATCAGAGAGGCTCTTTATCATCACTACAAAACAGTCAAGCCTACATCTCCATACCTACAATTGATGTTTCACAGTCTGATGCTCCCTCTAGTGGATGTTGTGGAGTATTGTGTTGTCTTCTCTCCAGAGGTTTTTGTACAGAGTTGTGGTGTTTCCTGTCACTGTGGGCCTCACAGCACAGTAGTACACAGCAGAGTCAGTCAGTGCAGCAGAGGAGATCTCCAGGTGAAACTCATTAGATTGTTTGTCATGTCTTGTGGACAACTTCTCTGTCTTTTCTGAATATCCTCCTATGAGATGTTGTGGAGATGAACCTGATTTCTGCTGATACCAGTAGAGGTTGTTGACAGAGCCTGAATAATTGCAGGAGAAAGTCACATCGTCTCCATCAACAGCCATCATTATCTCTCTGAATGGTGTCACTAATTCCTCAGAGGATCCTAAAAAGAAAGACATATATTTCACTGTGACTGTAGTTGTCTATCTGGACACACATGTTTCATGTCTTAGATCTTATTACATCTTCTTAGTACTTACCAGTATGAAAGAATACTATCATCATCCAAACCAAAGGAAGCTGCATTGTTGTTCCTGTGATAAATGAACAGTAGAGAGAACACAGCAGCTCCTCTGTTCCAAAGTGACACTGTTCATATTCATTTGTGTAGCTCCTCCTCTTAACACTAACATCTCAAATGTAGTAACATAGGGCCATCTATGACTGGATTAAGATAAGATCTGTTCATCAACAACAACAAAAAAGAAACTAGACTAATTTATTTTAAATCAAATTCAACCTACAAATAAAAATGACCAGGCCTAGAACTAAACCCTGTTGTACACCACGAGAAATCACAGCGAAAGAATAACTTCCTCATCAAAGACAGAAATTGACTTCGAATTTTGGCGTGCCAACTGTTTATGGTGGTGCTTTATTCTAATGATTTGATCCAGATTAAATATGATGACAAACCATCACATCATATTAACTTTTTGTATATTAAGAGCTTCATTTATATCTATAGTTTGCAAACCAAATTCATGTTACATTCAAACAGTTCTGGATATGTTGAGAGCGCCTATCAGAGAGGCTCTTTATCATCACTACAAAACAGTCTAGCCTACATCTCCATACCTACAGTTGAATTTTAGCAGTGTGTGACTCCCTCTAGTGGTTGTTGTGGAGTATTGTGTTGTCTTCTCTCCAGAGGTTTTTGTACAGAGTTGTGGTGTTTCCTGTCACTGTGGGCTGCAGAGCACAGTAGTACACAGCAGAGTCAGACAGCTGAAGCTTCTGGATCGTCAGAGGAACTGATGTCCCATTGATTGCAGCTTTATATCTTTCTATTGAGATCCCAGGAGCATTTTCTGAAAATCCTCCAGAGCCTTTCCACATGTACTTTGGGAAATCACCCATTTCTTGTCGATACCAGAACAAATAGGGGGTCGTTGAGGTCTCTAATTTACAATCTAGTGTGACTGTGTCTCCTTCAGAAACAAATACATCTTCTGTTGGCTGGATCACTCTGTCTTCTCCTTTACACTCTGAGAAAAATAGAACATGAGGAGGGAGAAATTAATTGTTGACAAAAATACTTACTAGATTAAAAAAGGTTAAATGATTTTTGAAGCAAAATAATCTGACACAGAATAATTAGAATAACATGCTTTGACTCTCACCAAAGAAAAGAGCAGCCAGAATAATCCACAGCCAAAGTTCCATCTCTACAACAAGGTTTGAACCAACATGAGACCCGAACTGATGTTCAGCCAGAAGTGTGAGAATAGTTCACTTTACAGCAGCTGTTACATATCGAGGCTTGAACAGAGTGCTGTGGTGATCTTCCCCCTTGATTATGTTTCCTCTAGTGGAGATAAAAAATATTACAATTGTGTTAAAGGTACTTCCAGAATGTGTTTTTTCAGACTCTGTGGAGGCCTTGTACATATTTACAAAATCCACTAATCTTAACAAACACAAAGGAAACCTCATTAAATCATTTTACCAATATCGCTGCCAGCATATAATTAAAAACTGAGAGGACCCGGGAACGAACCCTGTGGAACACCTCAAGAGATCGCAGCCCACAAAGAAAAAAATAGAAACTTCTTTAATAAAGATCAAGACAAAAGAAATCAACACCAGAATCTGTAATGCTGGCAGTTATCTGGCTTACTTTATTTAAATGATACAAGTCAACAATGGTAAAATTAAACACCAGATTAACACGCAAATATGATGAGGTATTGTTCATGGAAATAAAATCACAATGCACCTCATTCACAACAGTTTTGTTTTTAATGAAAACAACTTAGTTTCTATCAGCATGAAAAAATAATCCAGTATCAACACATCTAATAAAAGTTTATCAGCGTGTTACTTCCTCTAGTTGTGGAGTATTGTGTTGTCTTCTCTCCAGAGGTTTTTGTACAGAGTTGTAGTGTTTCCTGTCACTGTGGGCCTCAGAGCACAGTAGTACACAGCAGAGTCAGTCAGTGCAGCAGAGGAGATCTGTAGATCCACACGGTTTCTCTCCTTATTCAGTTTAACAGTCAGTCGAGGGTGTGGAGGTTTTGCTGTCACTACAGTTGGATCTGAAGTGTCGATGATCAGGAGAAGGAACTGAGGAGCTGATCCAGGATCCTGTTGATACCACTGGAGATTATTAGCTTTAACTGAGTATTTACAGGACAGAGTAACACTGTGACCCTCTGATGAAAACACTTCAGCACTGCTGGCAGTAATATCATCCTCCAAGGTGTTACCTGATGGAGACAAACACATGATGTTTCAACATCAGACATACTGTAGTTTAAAGATGTCACACAATAAACATCTTGTGTTCAAACAAACAATACTAGAAACAGTCATCAGTAAAGAAGTGTTGTTTTCTAGAAAGTGTTTTTGAAATGTTAAATTGATCTTTGGCTGATCCAAAAATTCATACTGGATCTCAAATTCTTTAAAAGTTTCTTTGTCATTTAGATTTCTTATTAAACACAAACATACCAAGGAGAGTTAAAATAAAGATAATACTGAGTTGTTCCATGTTTGTAGAGGTGAGACGCTGTAAGTGAAGAACAAGTATGAGTAAGTTTGGTGAGCTGTTTGGTCTGATGTTCACAGCTTGATTTAAAGAGTTCTCTGTCATCAGGCTCCTCTGCAGTCAGGAGGAGGAGACTCTTTAAACTACTCTAATTCCTTAAAGGTTTTATCACAACTGTATCATGAATGAAATAATAATAGGTTTATCAGTGTGTGACTCCCTCTAGTGGATGTTGTGGAGTATTGTGTTGTCTTCTCTCCAGAGGTTTTTGTACAGAGTTGTGGTGTTTCCTGTCACTGTGGGCCTCAGAGCACAGTAGTACACAGCAGAGTCAGTCAGCTGAAGCTTCTGGATCTTCAGAGGAACTGATGTCCCGTTGATTGCAGCATTAAATTTGTCTGTCTGGAACTCAGGAGCTTTATATACGTCTTTTGAGTAGCATCTCAACATGTACTTTGGGAAATCACCCATTTTTTGTCTGTACCAGAACAAATTTGGATTTGGGTCAGTGGTCTTAAATGTACAACCAAGTGTGACTGTGTCTCCTTCAGAAGCAAAGACATCTTCTGTTGGCTGGATCACTCTGTCTTCTCCTTTACACTCTGAGAAGAGAACAGAAAATAAAAGATGAATTGTTGATTGATGAAAAAAAGGATTGAGGTTAAATAATTTACATAGCCTTAAGAACAGACACACAAACAAGTGAGGAGTAAAAAAAAATGTATGATGCTATAGTTTCTCACCAAATAGAAGAGCAGCCAGAATAATCCACAGCCAAAGTTCCATCTCTACAACAAGGTTTGAACCAACAGGAGACCTGATCTGATGTTCAGCCAGAAGTGTGAGAATAGTTCACTTTACAGCAGCTGTTACATATGAATGCTTGAACAGAGTGCTGTGGTGATCTTCCCCCTTGATAACGTTGCCTCTAGTGGAGATAAAAAATATTACAATTGTGTATAAAAGGGACTTAAAGCAGGTTTTTGTGAGTACTCTATGAAGGTCTTGAACAATTTTACAAGATCCATTTCTCTTAAAGGGCCCATATCTTCTTCTTCTGGTTTTATCTGCTCTTTAGTGTGTTTTCCAAGTGTCCTGTGCATGTTTAGGTTCATCTATTTGCAAAAATTCAAAGTCCACGGAAACACGGCTACTCCTACGTCCTCCTGTTAGCTGCAGCATTAGCTGCATGTAACGCTTGGTTCTAGCCCCCCTCGAAAATGTTTTTCCAGTGTGACGTCTTGTCAGTGTGATATCACTGATCTAAGCCCATTGGCTCGT